CCCCCCCAAAAAAATTATGCTAGCTTTGCAAGTCCAAACAAGAAAAAAATTCCAGAAATATTCTAAACGCTCAAATGATCAAAACAGTAATCATCCGTCCAACCACAACACATCACGGTTGCACGTTTTTTAGAATAATTAAATGGCACTGATGCCAATTATTGGGGAAAAACTCGTCATCAATAATGGCCACCGCAAGTACAGCAGTGGCGCAGCTCAACAAATGTCGAACTGAAAATGTAACGTGTATACACTCAATTGAAGAATCGTTGTCGGGTTCAGAAACATAGAACATAGAAGCTGAGACCGAAATGGCACATGAGAAGTACGTTATTTCAATGCATGCTGTGACCGGCGACCCGTGGCATCATCTACTGTTTTTAATACACGTTTGGCATTCTAAACCGACTGCATGGATGGCGCAAATGAATAAATTATAATATAATTATGCCATTTCCCATGTGCCATTTCGGTCTCAGCTTTTATTTCATATGTTTATGAACCCGACAACGATTCTTCAATTGAGTGTACAGTCCATGTATTACCCTGGAGCACAGCTCTAGCCAGTTTGAATTGGTTAGAGTTTTTTTTGGAAGGATGGAGGTAAAAAACTGGCGGGCCGGAAGACCCCTCGGATTTGGATTGAAAGAGAAACAACCACATTAGCTCACATGGGGGCGACTGGGATTAGAATATGGCATATTGAGAGAGCCCTCTTTACCTGAAGTTTCTCCGATGACGCCGTCTGTATTATCTGATAGGTCCTTCTTAAACTCCTGCTCAGATATCGTCGACGAGTCTGATCCAGTGCGGTTTCTATCAACGTCTAGTAAACTGGATTTACTCTTCATGGAAAAGTCACCGGAGGATGTATCAAAAGTATCATCTTCACCGATGTCTGACTTGGAATCTGTATCTATTCCTTCATCAGACAGTGCTGGTGAATCCGGTCGACCATGGTGGTTATCATCATCTAAACTATCTAGAGAATCAAGACTTTTACGTTCGGAAATTCCACTCTCGTCTGTCATAAGTATTTCTATTTCTGCTGCTTTCCTATCAACATCGTCATCATGCACCTCGGGAGATCTTTCTTTGCTTCCCTCTTCCTTGGCATCCTCAGGTTTTCCGTTTACACCCTCGTCTTGAGTGACACCCTCCCCTACCTTAGGATCGGGTTTTTCTTCATTGATAATTGTCTGGTCAAAAACCTCTAGCTCACTGCACTTCTGAGAAGACCCACCATTTACAGATGTGTCCTCATTAACTAGATTGCTGGTTTCAAGACTGTCATCCTTCTTCTCTTCGACGTTTGCATTCTGACTGCTTTCTGCAATTCCATCAGCACTTGGTTTTGAAGGATCATCTTCCTGGACACTTTCACTACCAGTATCCCTAACATCATCTTCACTGTACTTTGTCGTTACCTCTGTACTTCTCTCTGCTTCAATATCTTTAGCTTCATCAACACTATTTGTATTATTCTTTTCTCCACTCGTTTCCTTCTCGTCGTCTCCCTTGCATTCGGTTGTAACCTCTGTATTTACGTTTCTTTCAGTGTCTTCATCTGCCCATACAGTTTCTTTATCCGTGTTTTCAGTTAGCTTTGGTACACTTTCCTTAGCATCGTGGTCTTTCTCTTCATTCACGGAGATAGTCATCCCTTCTTCCTTAGCGTCTATAAAAGTATCATCACCACTCTCTACGACATCAGAAGTACTTGAAGCGTTATCTTGTTGAATGCTGTGTTTTGGACCCTCAGAAATCATTAAACTTAGCTGCTTTTCAAGATCAGATAGTTCATCTACAGCTTCTGATAAGCTCTTGCTAGGGTTTCTTTTACCTTCCTCAGGTAAACTCTCTTCATTCTCATTTTTCAGTTCAACTGTTTTTTCCTCATTTTTCAGTTCAACTGTTTTTTCCTCATTTTCTTTTATTGTTGCTTCTTTTTCCACTGTATTATCAACATTAATTTGCTCTTTGTCTTTCTCTATTTCAGTAGTATTATTTTGCTTGTGGTCCATGATAGCAGCGTCTTTTGTTATATCCATAAAAGTATGAAATAGCTCATTTGCTTCTTGTTCTTCACTTATCTCATTTACTTGTGGCTCACTTAAAGCCATAGCATCAGTAATAAGTTTGTGTTATTTTCACATTTGGCTCAAAATGTTGAGGTTTAAATCTGTTGAAGAAAAATTTAAACAATAATTCACTCTGGTCTATTGAATCTAAAAAAATGCCAATAATTGTTTGAAAAGTCAATAATAAAACACCATGGCCAACCATGCAAGTCAGTAAATGAAGATAACCACAATAAACATAAATAGATTGATTCCAAGATGTGATGCTCATTGTATTGCTTTATCAATTTTATGGATGCAAGCCAAAAGTAAATTCCATACTCACTACAATCTGTCAGTGTATCATATCAAGAAAAAAATATAAATTTGGGCTGTAAACTGAAAGCAAGAACAAGCTTTAAATTTGCCACTCAAAAAAATAAAATAAAAAATAATGAAGATTTGATTGACTTGATTTGGATTACCAAAAGGCACAAAATTAAAATATCTATTCAGGAAACTCATTATTTTATTTAGGTACCTATTTTCTGATTTCGATATATAATTTTATCAGGGACGTAGGAGCTGACAAGGAGGTTAGGGGAGGGAGGGGGCTATAGCAATTAACAAATAACAATGAAATTATGGTAGATAAGTCAATCATATAATATATTTTATTGGTAAAGCATTTGCCAATAAGCAACTGAAGTAGACCAGATTAGCTAATATGTATCTTTTATTTCTAACACTTAAGAATGCGGTAGCCTTTGTTTATCACAGTCAGCTATACTTGCTGTTGACCTTGTTTTGAATGCACATGCCTTTTCATTATAGCCTCCCCCCCCCCCCCAACTAAAAATTCTGTTCCAATGTCCTACCTTGTTTATATATTTTAAAGAAGTGGTTCAAATTATTTGCTCAGCTACACTTATGATATTCACAGTGATAACAATCAGTGGTATCATAAAAATATAAAGTGAATTAAGGATGTTTTTAAATCTAACATCACTCATAAATAATAATCTTCCCTTCCCATTGACCCTTTTAAATATCTTGAATATGAGGCTAAAATGTTAGCAAATAAAACTTTCAATCAATAAAAAGTTTAATTTAACTCTTTTGTATTGTCGTTTGGCCTTTATAATAATTTTGAGAAAAGCCTGTCTGTGCCAACCATTAGAATTAAGACATACTCTCTATAGTTAGTATTCAAAGTCTTTTAAAAACAGTTCCAAAAAGCCAAATATTGAGACTTAAAGAACTGACTTCTTCCAATTAGCACCTTTTCAGGAGAGAAATCATTGCCTGTTGGATTGTAACAATCAAATGTTACTTTTCTTCTTTAATTTGTACCTGGTAAAGTCTAATCGCTACGCAGCATTACATTTCAACTTGCTGGCTAGTTTTATGGATGACTTCGTTTTTTTATTATAATAAATATTATTATAATAAATTCATATATAGTTGGAAAACATTGCATTAATCATATTGCGTGAGGTAGGATTAACAGTTTATAGTGGACTAACTTAAAAGGAATCGATCATGGTCATAAATGTACTATTTGTAAAACTCACGTAATAAATGTACTTAAACTATGATCGTTATTGAAAGATTGAAAGTATTTATAGCTTCTTGGATAATTGATTACAGCACCATACAGTTTAAACGTACTCAACTTTGTCGTAGCTAGCTGATAAGAAATAGCTCCGTCAAGTCAACTATCTAACCACAAGTAAGGCATATAATAAAATTGCAAAGAAAGAAATCAAATTTGATATCCTAGCCAAAATTAGTATTCGAAGAAAGGTTGGCAAACTATTCATCAACATCATGATCATGCAAATAAAACAAGCTTCCGATCCGAGCCTCGAGCGCTTTAAGGAAATTTTTACTTCAAGAAAGCTAGGAAGCAAATACGGCATAAGTTACTGAAACCTATGAGTTTTTGGGAGCGAATTTCACTTTAACATCAACATGAAAAATTAGACATAATAAGAATGGAAATTTGCTTCAAGAACTGAATATTCTAATGTACTAAGCTTTAATTAGTTATGTGGTCAACGAGTCTAAGCATAGTATAAATCTTAAAATATCATCAAGGAGATATATTTCTTTAAAATAAATTAAGAATATTCAGTTTCAAAGTTGCCTTTTAGCATAGCTAATACGAGAAGAGATAAGTGAATGTAAGCATATATCAAAATGGCTTACCTACACGACTCAATCTTGAAGTTTAATTTACATTTCAATGTAATCGAAAACTCCAGAACTTTGGTGACTTTGGTTCTGCCGTCACGACCTTGACTTCGCAAAAGTTTAGCGTCTTACAGAAACGCATTTACTTGATCAGTTAGCAACAACTGAGACAGTCTTTAAATTTGTTTATCACAATGGAATAGCCTTGCTAGTGATTCAGTCGGTCTGCCAAGCACGAAGGTATCTTGTTTACCTTGCGTAACAGACGTCAATCAAAATGGGATGGGCAAGTACCGAGTAGTCTAAGTAAGACCGGAAGTAGGACATTTTGAAAGAACTTCTTGGTATCAAGACTAGTTACATAGTGAATTCACGGGCTACATACCACTGGTATATGATAGTGATAAAAGGCACTCTCCTCAGACCTTCCTGCGGAAATGACATGAAAACATAAAATAATTCATTGATTGTAGTTTCTCTTTTGGGTTACCTGTGTTACGAGCCAAACGATACAAACCACAGGGAATCCATTTGGCAACGCACGAAAGCAGAAAAAGTGCGAATGAAGAGCCATTGCTGTCTTCTCAAAATTGGGTTCTACTAATACAGTTAAGGAAAAGTGTTGCGGCAAGTTATATAATATTTTCTCAAGGTATATTGGCTTTATTTTTCTTCTAGCTTTCCCCAGGCCTCCTCATCCAGCGTCACTTCACGGCAGCCATGTTTGTTCTCGGGTTTGGATTTTGACCTCCGTGCCATCATTCTCTTTTAGATTATTACATTCATTTTACAGCTTTTAGTTTCAATGTTAAGGATATCGAAGAAAGCTTCATTAACATCATCATTAGTACGATGCTTTAGCACCACAACGCATTTATTAAGAAGGCAACGTCTAGTAATACTTGGTACTGGATGGGGTAGTTACAGCGTACTCAAGCACATTAATAAGAAGCTATTTGACGTCGTAGTTGTAAGCCCAAGAAACCATTTCCTATTTACGCCATTATTATGCAGTACAACTGTCGGAACTCTTGAGTTTCGAAGCATCATTGAACCAGTTAGAAACACTGGGTTCAGAGATGAGCACGATTTCCAACTCGCTGAAGCAACTGCTCTTTTTCCAAAAGAACGAAAAGTTGTCTGTAAAAGTACCCTGAATAACGAAGTTGTCGAATTTAATTACGACAAACTGGTTATAGGTGTGGGGGCAGTGAGTAACACGTTTGGGGTTCCAGGTGTCTACGATCATGCCTTTTTCCTCAAAGAGATTGCAGATGCAAGGAAGATTAGAAATCAAATTCTTAAGAACTTCGAGCTCGCAGTGCAGCCTGGGATATCAGAGGAGGACAAAAGGCGGCTGTTGCATTTCGTGATAGTAGGGGGAGGCCCTACAGGAGTAGAATTTGGAGCAGAGCTATATGATTTTGTAAGACAAGATGTAAATCGCCTATATTCCCATGAGAAGGTAAATGTGAGGGTAACTTTGATAGAAGCTCAGCATATATTACCGTCGTTTGATGAGAAGCTAAGGACATATGCAGAGAAAAAAATGAAACAATGCGAGCAGTTCAAGTTACTTCAAAGTAGTGTAACAGAAGTTCATCAGGATGGTGTAACCCTTAAAGGTGGAGATAAAATCCGTTGTGGTCTGGTTGTGTGGTCTACAGGGCTTGCACCGAGGTCATTCACAGGTAAAGTATAATATGTATGACTCAAGTGTGGGTTCAGGATGTTTGAGAAGGAAAGGGGGGGGGAAGGGTCAAGATAATGGGTATAACAATAGAAACAGTTTATAAATTATTTACTCCTTTCCATCATGAGTTCAGTTCCCCTACAGGTATGCGGGTCATGTACAATGATATAATTATATTTAATAGATAATCCAAAATTATAAAAAATCTCCTTACCTATGAATAGAGCCCAGGCACGTGTGTTCAACAGATATATATCAGCGGACTATTGGAAATAATGTGTTCTGATTGGCCAAGCTATTTATAGTCTATTTTCTATAGTCTGTTATGGTAAAGACAATACTGGGGCACACCAGAATAAGTGTGCTAAGCCCCCAGTGAGAATACAGAGGTTGGCAATTTGCTCACAGTTGTTCCAAGATCATCCTTAGCTTTATAACTTTTGGACTGAAAGTTGGGTCCTGGTCATATGCCGCACTACAGTCAGTAGTATGTGTTTTCTGTTAGGCAGCATTTTTACATGTCCCTACATTTAGTCACCAGCAAATTGTCGGGGGTAACCTGACAAAACAACCTGTGACAGCCTTCTGATTCAAGTAATTGTTTAATTTATAATGACAACCCTCCTTCAATCCTTAGCTATCCCTCTCTCATCTGGGGCTAGCCTCATTGGGAGTACGAGTCCGTTCACTCTGCCCCTCATGTAGTTTACGTGTATCCACTCTCTTTGGATTCCATTTTTTTTATTTATGTAATCTGCATGGAAGTCACTAATAAATAAATAAATAATCTGGTGTACACCAGCAGTAAAGCTGTTATGTTGTTTATTTGGTATTCATTCTTTTAGCCTAAATCATTTCTCAATTTTTTATGATTTTCTTTACAGCATCTCTTGACTTACCTAAAAACAAGGCCCAACAGCTGCTAGTTGATGAGTGTCTTCAAATCAAAGGTGTTGAAGATTCATCATTATTTAGTGTTGGTGACTGCTCCTTCGTGGAACCTAATCCATACCCTTGTACAGCCCAGGTTGCAGAAAAACAGGGTCTTTACCTTGCCAAGTCTCTAGCTCTTTATGCCGAGGGGAAAAACTCTGAGGTAAAGCCTTTCTCCTGGAGTAACCTTGGCATGCTTGCTTACCTAGGTGGGTATCAGGGCTTGGCAGATTTTCCAACAAACAAGCTCCAGGGGTTTAAATCATGGCTCCTTTGGAGATCGGTTTATCTTACCAAACTTGGGAGTTGGAGAGCAAGATTCCAAGTTCCTTTTGACTGGACTAGAACTTTCATCTTTGGAAGGGATGTTTCTCAGTTTTAGCTTGGTATTTTAGCACTGTATACGTTCTGCACCGACTATTAATTTGAAAAAATAAGACTGCATAATTTTCATGTAAATATTGTAAACGATGTAATATTATCTATGAGCCTTTCAAAATTAAAAACAAACCACACCCTATGTCTATTGTTTAAGGTTGGGTTTGAATTTCGATGGAAAACCTGTCTCGGGTTTTAAATTTAGCATTGATACTAACAGGGGAGAGCGGGGCTGAATTCAAAACCCGGGACAGGTTTTCCATCAAAATTCAAACCCTCCATCAAACATTAAAAATAGGGCTGGGTTGTTTTTTAAACCAGTTAAAACACACGTGCTCGGATTTGCATTGAAATTCAATGCAAACCCTCGCCCAAGCGTTTTAACCTTTATATAATGATAATGTCATAATGTATAATTATACGATAAATCTAATCAAGATTATAAAGATAAATTTAATTAATGATAAAATTTAATTAAGGACATATACGTCAATATTTCTCAAAATTATCTGGGATGGGAGGCTAACATGAAAATGCAGAAAAGATTATTCTAGCATCTTGATACAAGCTTAAAACCATACAGCCAAGTAAATAATCTCTTTCAGATCCTTTTTTCTGAGGGGGGGGTGTATGACTTATTCTCGTCTTGTATAATATATATCATCCGTTCCAACTACACAATCCCAGACTGGGGACAATCATCTTACACGACCACTGTTTAAATTAAATAAATTTCAGTTTATTTTACAGCTAGAATTTTTTAACTTTATTTCGAAAATTGAAACCACAAACACATATCAATACGTTTTTTTTCCTTAACTTATACGCTAACAATTTCCAAACTCAAAGGCTATGACTTTAGTGTGATACTCCTTGGACTTGATGAGATCCTTTTTCGATAGACGACTAAACAGAGTAAACTTTGGAATCGTTACAAAAGCGGATGGAAAGCGGATTTCCACAGGCATCATCGTTAGGACTCTTTCTTTGGAAATTTTTTCAAAACGACCTATCTACATATATAAGAAATGCAAATTTAACCATGTATGAAGACGACCATCAGCTATACACTACAGGGAAGGAGGTATCTACTCTAAAAAAAATTCTAGCAAAGGAAAGCAGAAAATGCACTGTACTGGTGCATGTATAACAACTATCGAAAAATTTTGGCCAACCCTGAAAAGCTCCAACTACTTATGGTCAAATCATTAGACTAAGGCGTACGGGGAAGGAAAGAAACAACTCTCTGCCAGCACAGGAAGCCCAGTATAGGAAAAAGAAAAGAGCAAAGAGGCGCCTGTGGAGGAAGCTAGAGCACGCATACCTAGAGATAGATGGACAAAGAATCAAGACAACCGAGAAAATTAAACTTTTTGGAGTGCACATCGTAACTTATAGCCCCTGGCTAAACGAGGCGAACTGATGTTTCCAGAAACTTTTACCGCGCGCATGTTTCCCCGAAGTTTAGCTACGAATTCGGAGTCAGAAGGCATTAGACGACATGTTTAAGCCCTTTTGATTGACGTCCAAAAAACATCATATTGAATCTCAGCGCAAATTCTGTTTGGAATAAAAAGTGCATTTATGCTCCGATGCCACTTTCATTCATTTTCTTCATGTCAAGATGTGCAAAAGTACGTTTAGAAAACACCAGAGAAAAAAATAATCAGCCAACCACAATCACCAACATTGTTAACTAGTTACGGTAAAATCCTTATTAATCCCCTGGGCCTTTTCATTGCAGGATACAGTGTCATCCAGGTGATATAAGCACGCAATTCTTTTTTTTTTTTTTTTTCAGTCACAGCAAAATGCTTCTTTTTTTTTTTCAGTCACGGCAAACATTTCCAAGTATTTTCTATTATCTCTAGTCAAAACGAAACATTTTTCAACAACAACGACGAAAATGTGCATTTTCTATAAGATATTTGGTGAATCATTGAAGAGTTTAATTTATTTTCTGTATTTTCGAATAAAAGCTGTCGTTAATTGGACCAAAAAATTTGGGGCTAGGAATATTGAGCTACGAACAAAATGATTGCTTTGCTTGGGCTGAGAGAAAGCAAACCACCTCGATGTTGTAGCTGGAAACACCAACAGATAGGATGTTACAAAAATATACTTTCGTATATATACTTTTTTTTTCTTTTTTGTTTTGTTTTTCTTTTCTTTCTACTGATAATTCATGCATTAGCAACAGAATTTCGTGCCAAGTTTCAAGGGTGCAAAGCCTATAGCACAACATCACCATGAGTACAACTGAATAAGTCTTTGAAGTTCAATTAAAGGAATAATTATTAAAGGAAGGATGTCTTTATTTATTTATAATTAGTTTGTTAGTTGTGTTTTGAGTCGCATCGTGGTAATAAGAATAAATGTGGAATAAATCAATATTTATTTAGTACGAAATTTGCAAAATTACATATGCTAAACTACAAGAATACAGAAAATTGGTACAATCCACATGCATCCCAAACAAGGTTCCTGTGTATGGTTTATAGTATAAGGGGGTTTTGTTTAGGTGCCGGGTTTCAAAAAAACTCACCAAACGGCACCAAATCGCGCTGAAACCTCGCAAGAAGTTTGAACGAGGTACAAGCAACGACTGTATCAAGTTTTAAAGCAAATTGTTCAGTGAAACATATCTTTGCAGTATCCGCTTCATGATAACTCCCGTCCGTACGTTCCCTTATTCAACCATATCACACAGGAACCTTGCTTGGGCTGCCTGTGTACATGCCAGCTGTAATAGCCAAACTAGCTAAACGAGGCAAATTTTAATATTACATTAACATATTCCTTTGTCAATAGAAATAATAATAGATAAGAAAGAAAAGCTGAGGGAAAAAAGATAAGTACCAACAAAATACTATTCTTATAGTATTGCGACGTGAGACATGGCGTTCAATGCTGTTCTATTCGCAGTTTTCTTCACCTTAGCGTATAAAGGCTATCAGAATAACGCACAAGTCAACAGGAAAGGCAATATTGTCTTTGGTAATTATCAAAAAATGCAAGTTGGCAAAATCTTTGAAAAGAATGGAACTTCCTTAAGTAATTTCACGACCCAAGACGAAAGTGATTGTTTGATTGAATGTGTGAAACAAGAGCGATGTCTCTCCATCAACTTGTACTTTAATGGACCAAGTCAGATACAATGTGAGCTTCTGAATTGGGGAGGAACGGCTTTTCACAGATATCTGAAACNTTTTCACAGATATCTGAAACCAAGAGCAAACTCTTACAGCATGAGGTTATTGGTAAGTTTGAACTCTCATTAATGGCTAACAAACGTTTCGAAGGAGCAAAGGGAGCAAGGAGCAAGGAGATAAGATAAAGTTATACTTATTGTGTTGCCTTCTGAGCAAAGCTTTATATCTGCAGACATACATTTGACAAACGTTCCACAGACATTTTAGTTACCGGCTTCTAGTCTGCCGAAGATAAAGTACACCAAACCCTAAAACGTTAACACATTTGGGATTTATATAAATATCAATATGGAGGACAATGATTTAAATAATTTCTTAACAAAAATTCTTGTAACGATGTAACCATTGTTTTCGAGTTCACCGAAAACATTGTATTTAACTTTTATTAAAACGTTTTTTAAATTGAAAATCACCCCACAATTTACCCGATACATCGATATATCGTTATTCATATTATTTACAGAATTTTTGCAAAGCGCTGTATATAATTTGGGCTTATTAGGAAAACGATGTTCTTCGTTTTGATATTAAAAGTTTCACTTTGAAATGTCTTACACTTTTATTGCAAAAGCTTTTGTCAAAAATAAACAATGAATAAGTATATATAATAGGACTCTATGCTGTCCAATTAAGAAATAATTGGACGAGGAAAATTCCGAGGCAGTCAGAGGAATTTTTCGAGTCTAATTATTTCTTGATTGGGGAGCATGAAATCCCATTACCTATTAATTATATAGCTGCCTGATTAATCCCTTATCAACAAGACCTGTCCAATTAGTATAGGAAATCGCACGATCTTCTCGTACAATTTGGAAATTAATAGACACGAGTAATGTTTTGAAAGTTCTTATAATTGCACGAGCCTTTAGGCGAGTGCAATTAAAGAACTTTCAAAACATTACGAGTGTCTATTAATTCCAAATTGTACGAGAAGATCGTGAGATTTTTTGTTTATAGTTCACTCAACAAAATTTCAGTAAAAAATTCGAAGCGACGCCGTTCATCTTTGTCTATTTGGCGGCCGATTTTCAGTCCATCACGCAACTGAAATGCATAAAAAAGATTAGTTCTTACGGCTTTAAAATTTTATTTATGTTTTTTAAGTACAAAATGATAGAAAATAATTGATTTGACATTGTTTTGGCCTTGTTGCCATAGCGACTTAATTCGGTACTCCTACGGAGTACAATTAACGCTATAATTGTACTCCTCTCGACCAATCAGAGTCAAGTAATTTTGTTGAGTGTACTATAAAGAAAATAATTGGACAGTTATCTATATGGGATTAATGAGAAGCTGTATAATTATAATAATAAGTGGCTTGCACGCGATATATTTTTGAGGTAAAGCCAACAATCGTTAGCTGAAATGTTCTGCATTTTTTGAAAGAATTATTATTAGTGACGAAAAAACGAAAGAGCATTTTTGCACACTGTACCCACAGAAAACACTCCTGCAATGGACTTTTAAGTAAAACGTTTTGTGCATGGCGTCATTTAAGGTACATTTTTAGTGAAGAAAAAAATATTGTTAGTTTTCTCTTACTGTTTAATAAACTCGCAGGAGTGTTTTATCAGGATTTAAAAGCACGAGGCGGAGTCGAGTGGTTTTAGACCCGATAAAACACGATCTGCGAGTTTATTAAACGGCTTAAAAAACTCATGATGTATGTTCTCATATTGTACAGAATTCTTTACGAAATGAACCAAGTTTGATAGAGAAAATCCAAGTCAAAGTTTATGTAAATGACTGAAGACGAATCTATATCAGATATATTAGTCATTTCAGATTGAAAGTGAAGTGCTGCAGATTGATTTGTCCTTTTCCTTCATATTGTGTTATGGGAGACTGAGTAAAATGTTTATATAACATTTGAAATTATAATTGGAATAAAACAAATTAAGTTTCTAATTTCAATTGATTCATCTCCCTCACGAGAGAAAACAGTAAATTGTGTTGCTTTACAACCCACAACTATTAATTTTTCTATTTTTCATGGGCTAAATATATCGATATTGTAAAATCATTGAAAAAATAGACCTATAGAGCCGTTGGATTGCTTCTTACTTGTAGACATTAATATTCAGTAAGTGTTTATTAGTTAAATGCAACAATCTTTGGATCATGCATTCGTAATCATCTCTTAATGTATTTGAGAGGTCCATACTACCACGCTGAACAGTAACAAAACGTATAACAATCTGTTGTCCTCAAAGACGTTTGGCTCAAAGACTCTGTACTGCTATCGAAAGCAAAAGGCGAAGAAACAGTATTAGGCAAAAAGTTTAGAGATATATGCTCTTGATCTGGGGTTGCATGGCTTTCAAAAGCATTCAGATACATCTTGTCACCTTCGATTAGTATGTTATCTATAGTAGAACGACTCCATTCATGAATAGGACAGAATTGCGCACATAAAAGTACCGAAAAACTCACAAATGAACATTGCCTCCCCCGAGAAATGTAAGTGAACTGTTAATGACCTTGATGAATAGCTCTACGAATATATAGAACCGGTTGGTTGGTTACTTTTCTCACATTTTTTATCTCGTATAGACYGCAGCTTGCTGGCCAAACCCTTGTAAGAACGGTGGAGAATGCATAGCAAAYATCGGAGGACAGCCATACATGTGCAACTGCAGTAAGAACTTCACAGGAAAGAATTGTGAAAATGCAGGTGAGTATTGCATCGGTATCAACTATACTCATTTTACTGTGCAGACACACTAACTAAGCGTTGCATGACGACACTGATAGCTAGCATCTACGAGGAAGACTCATACTTACCTTGACCACTTGAAGGAAGTTAACCAATCAAGGTATAGGGCGAAGACAAAGCAATCAAACTTGATTCAAAATTAAACCAATCAGGAGCAAGCATTTAAAACTAGGGATGTATCTGAGAAAATTAAGCTTAGATGTAATCAACAACCAGTCAACAGCCGTGGGAATGAGTGATGAAAATTGTCCATTTCACAGTTGTCTCAAAGGGCTTTAGATCTGTGATCAGCGGAGTTACTTTATAGGCTGTATATTAAGGCGCTATTAGCAGACGTGCAGCTGATCCCAGTCACCCTATGTGAGCTCAGTTGGTTGGTTCTCTTTCTAACTCCGAGGGTTTTTCCGGTCCTCCAGTTTTTCCTCCCTCCTCTCAAACCAACCCTAACTAATTCAAACTGATTAGAGCTGTGCTCTAGGGTCATACATGGATTGTATAGCGTCTGCCAGAGGCGTCTTTACATGCTTTCAGTTCGATCCCATTTGAGCTGCACCACTTCTGTACTTGCGGTGGTGATAAGCCATAATGACAAGTTTTTTTAAAATCTATAGTGAATTATTAGTATATTAGTATTATGCCTCCAAATTGGGATAGGCTGTCGAACAGGGAACAATCCCCTATACTCTTGCACGAATTATTCAACAGATTATTTTATGTCCCCCATTTAGAGGTTTAAAGGGTTTGGAGACAGGGTCTACAGTTTTAAGTCCTTATCCGAGAATTCTAATTTTGCTCGATCAGTCTCTCCCGATAGGCTATACTTCTTTTTTTAATCCCAAGTGTATGCATAGTACAGCATAAAATTTCTGTTTAATTCACTATGTCTTTAGAAACAACTTTGATCAGCCCATAGGTTGTTTCAGCGATATAGATTTGTCTTTCTCTTTTTGTAGGTTGTGTCCTTTTCGACTTTGAAAATGGCATAGCTGACTGGACTCTTACAGGAACAGCCTTCAATAACCAACCAACGTACGGTGACAACAGCCTGGTTCG